GTTCATTGATGTATAACACTCAATGAAATATTGAAATAAGCAAAGCGGAGATCCTGCCTTTTGAGCTGATTCGCCTTTCCTCTCTGCACTGAAGTCTTAACTGTCCATCCAGTTGTGAGTTCGCTGCTCCGGTGAAAGGGTGCGGGGGGGGGGCTCTAATCTACTGGAGGCAGCTAATTAATTGTTGGTTCTTCCTATAGGCGCAGTGTCAAGAGACGAGTGTTTGCAGGAGATTAAGAGATCGTCAGAAAGGTGTGATTCTTCAACGAGGCCTCTTCACACACACACACACACACACACACACACACACACACACACACACACACACCTGCGCTGATTGTTGTAACGAGGAGTCCCGCTGAGGAGGAGGAGAGTGGGTCTTTCACTGGTAATCGAGTGGCTTAAAAGAAGCCGAGGCACCACGTGTACTCGACAGTCCAAAACATGTTGAATGGTAAATTACGCTGCGAGGAGTCTCGGCTAGATTATATTCTACTACTTTTTCTCTTTGGAGAAACACGGTGGCTGTTTTTGAAATGCCGTGTGGGGGAAATACAGCTGAATGGTGGAAATGGAGCCGGTGGGGAAGTCATTATATTTGTGAACTGTTTGTGATCAAAAGGTGCGTTTGAGTTTCCAGAGATTTTCCTCAATTTCAGTTGAAAGTATTGTTTAATGAATGTATTAAACTATGAAACTTCACCAGGTACGTATGTTGATCAGCTCTTTGGCTCAGAAAACACACTTGATCTTCTATATTGGACGGACTAACTAAATATGTTGAACTTGAAGACTCGTTCTTGACCAAGTAGCAACAAAAGTCGGTTCATACGCTCCGACTGCCAAAATAAAACATCCTTTTAAACGGACGGCCTCCTTTTTTGCTAACAAGTTGAGCTTTAACTAACTACGTATTAAGTCAACCTATAAGCATAGTAATAATGTGGGTGTTTAATTTTTTTTAAACATATGCCGAGATCTGGTAATCTTCTTATGGGGTTGAGGTATAAGCTTAACAAAATATGCCTCAGTAATGGCCGGTTGTGTCCTCATCCAACGCCCTCCTCCCACCTACTATTACTTGAAATAGGCCATCAAGTGGCTAATGAACTGATAAGCCCTCTGTGTCCTGTGGGGCTTATGAACATCATAGGCCAAATGTTTCTGCATATTTGGTGAGTGTTTTTTTTTTTTTTTAAAGAACACTTCTGTGGGGAGAAGGACCCTGCATCAGTGTGAGAACATTTCTTCACATTTACCTGCAGGAAATGTTGAACTATTTTGTGATTCACCGCACAGCTTCCGTGATGCCGGCTGCTTCAGAACGAACGTGTGGCCCTTTGCTTCATCAGACCTGCAGCTAGTCGAGTATCATTATCAGTTTGGGGATCTGCGTAAATCCGTGGATTTGTGTGAGCAGTCTGAGAAATTAAAATAACATGCTTTTTACTGCGCTTACTTCAAATCTCTTTTGACTCCATTTTTTAAAACATCTAAATCTGTTATTATGTAGGCTATACAAAACCCTTTTAATTTAATCTTTGACAAGATTATCAAATTCATTGATGATGTCACAAACTTAAATAATTTCAGAAAATGTCGACTAAGCCTGGATAAGCGTTTTCAAGGGGATACTGCTGGATTAGCTTTAAAACATTATTTATTTTTGTTTTTTTATTTGTTGGCACATTTTACACGTTATTATGTTATTGCTTTAATTTCTTTTTCATTACAATAAATACACATGCATATACTGTATAAATGAAGCACCCCATGCAGCCTGTCAAACAGGTTGTAACATCTAAAAGCAATTTGGTAATTCCTTACTAAACCGTTTTTTTATTAAGAACCATAGATGATTATTTTTCTTAATTATTATTATTAATTACTATTATATATGTGTAGACATTTTTTGTTTAGCAAACGGTCCCTCATTCAGGTCAGAAGTCTCTTTCCGTCTCAATAATTCTCAATAGAGTCTCAATAATTAACTGTACTTACGCTTCATAATCATTGAAGGTTCAGTAGCAACAAACGTTTAGTTTCATTTGGATTCATGGAAAAAAACACCTGCGAAGCGACCTTTCTCCCGATCACCAATGGTCCTCTTATTGATTCCAATTAAGAGTCTGTAAATAATTGAGTATCAGATACTGACCCCCCCCCCCCCCCCCCTGCAGGTGCTGCGGCCTTGCACCGACCTCAGAAGGAAAGATGCTTTGCGGGGAACGACTCGCGTCGGGTGACCGACCGGACAGCCTCCGGACCGGGGGACGTCAGACAAAAAGCAGCGGGGATTAACGGCGCGTCTGTCGGCCCCATATGCTCCTCGGCCGGGCTTTAGTGCTGATTAAAACGCGTCGCATGTATGAAGCGACGTCTAATCCTCGACTTGTGCACTTTGAAGACACGAGGCTCCAAGGTCACACTAACAAGCCGGGGGGGGGGGGGCATTGATTAGGTCCAAGTGAGTTTGTTTGTTTAGCGTGGAAATGTGAAGTGACGCGGACGGTGACTCTCCGTGTTTCATCTTTCTAATCACTATTTTTTTTTGGGGGGGGGGGGGGGGGTCCTCAAACTTTTCTCGTGGTTCTTTCTCATTTCGGTCACTCGATGCACCCGCCCCACTCGTACACATGTTTTTATTTTTATTTTTGTTCCTTCTTTCCTCCAGCTGATATTTGGAAGTGGCCTGCAGCCCCCGTCCCGTCCTCTGTTGCCCCGCGCAGCAGTCCGGATGGGGCAGTTGTCGTCACCCGGAGGAGACGCGTCTCATGAATATTCAAGGTTCTGTGAGCCGAGGGCTTTTTTTTTCTTCGGCAAAACGTTGCCTTGTTATTCCCACAAACGCGCGAGTGGCGCGTGTTAAAAACACAGGAAGATATTCCGCCAAAAATAAAAATTGTTCTTGGAAAAGGGGAACTTAAAAAACCGGCGCGTGGGAGGAGGGAAAAAAGAGCAAAACCCGGATATAAACAGCTATTTGTGCTCCACCCTTGAAAGAGTTATGGGCCGTTGTATAATAAGGTCTTTCCCAAGTACAATCCAACCGCCTAACACGCACACACACACGCACACGCACACACTCACACACTCACACACCTATTTTTCTGTCCACGCAGGGGTGGAATCAAAGTCGCTCTTCTCTTTAACGCTTCGATTATTTCAAGCAAGGCTTTTAATTAGTGTGCCGCTTTAGCGCAGACTCCAATGAAAGAGAGATTATTGGCAATGTCAAGGATGTTAATTGAATGTTGGACTTCTAACAATTAGCCCGCTGCACAGATGACTTTTTTTTATTTGTATCCTAAAGCGGACAGTAACGTCAGATGAAAAAAAAACAAAAAAACAGAGGAGTAAATACAATCAAACACTCCTTCTTTAAAGTAGCAGCCCTCCTGCGATTTATTTTAAGAAGCTGCAACCTCTCATGTGCACTGTCACGTGACATGTGCAAATAAACCCATTATGCAGAGGGAAAAGCTATAATCCTGCATAAAGTATTTTAAAGGAATGCACACTCGTGGTAGTACATATCATTATTTTTGGGGAAGATGTTTTTTGTTTTGTTTTTTTACGTTCATTCTCAAAATGAAAAAATAAAACAGCACATGACTTTAAAGTTGAATTAATTTTGTGAGTTTCAGTGTCACGTTTTTGCAAATTATGTTTAGATTTAGAACACCGGGTGATAATCCTTAAACATATTATGCGCAGAAAATATCGCCTACACTGCCAGCGACCAAAAGCATAAGTAAATAGAATATTTTCAGTTTCATTTTTCCTGGAATAACCCTGAATATGTAAAGCTTATTTGCTGCAGTGTTTCCGACGCATACAGGACAATAACAAGGAAAGCAAATTGGTGCAGATTCTTGAAGCAGTAATGGTACATCAACGTGTATATTTCTGAAGAAATAACAGCCTTCATATTAGATCGAACATTTGAGAATCATGTAAAGCCACGTGGTGGGCTTTGATGAGGTATTTCTGCCCCCGCGCCACAGAGAACCCCCGCCGGAAGAATATTGGGATTAACATCTCTTGGTGGATGGGATTAAACTCTTTTTGTTGAGGCGATCAGCGCTGAACTACACCGGCAACTAAGGGAAAAACAAATTCTTTAAATCTGCAACCTGAGCACAGAATAAACTACAACCCCTTCATTTTTTAAAGAGCTTAACTAATTCTATTATTTTTTGTAATCAGACCGATGAACAAGTGGTTTAATGTTCCCATATTGCGATGGAATGCATGTCATGTGAATCCGCATTGAGGCATTTTGATCACATCAAGTGGCCCCGCCGAGAAGTAGAGGAAGGTCATTATTGGTGTGAGTAACAAACATGCAACATTTCCGTCCTCCACTTTTTGAAAATGTTCTCATTTTAACAGGAAACAGTGAGACTAATTTGAGAAGTTATGCCTGTTGGCAATGACAATTCCCCCCCTACCCACACACACCATCACACACACACACACACACACACAAAGATCGTTTGTCGATGAAAGAGTAAGCTCACAGGACCTTTATTCATGTCTTTTCAGCGGTGAGGTCACACCATCTTTGGAGCCAGTAAAAGGATCCACCATCACCGCGTCTTGAGATCAATGGAGGGGAGCGAGTGTGGAGCTCTCAGCAGCCGGGAGTCGGTCCCAGTGTGGCTAAACTCTGGAGTCTGTAGCTACCGTCTGCTTGGAAGGTCTGCGCTCTCTTTGCGATGCCGGTCAATTAACCCTTCGCATCGTTCGTTGTTCAAAAAAAGTTAGAAATCTATTAAAATCACAGCAGAGAGTCTGATGCGAAGGGGGGAGGAGGAGGGAGAAGGGGGGGGGGGGGGGGCTCACAATTTGAATACATAACCAGATCACAGTTTCGAAGGCTAGCACAGATAAAAATTATAAAAAAAAACTACACATATGTACCATTTATATAAGACACACACTGATTGTCTCTTAGAAACTACATATTGATTCCTTATAAACACTTTTTTTTCTTCTTAAATAAAGTAGTGCATCCGTGTCCACGTCCCGTCCGCGTGTGTCTCTGCCAGCAGGTCCTCGGCAGAAGCTTTCGGAGGTCCGTCACGAGGAGACGAGTGACCGTGAAACATTAGTTCCGTGGGTGCGGTGTGTACTTTTCTTTCGGTCCGTTCCGTGTGCCCCCCCCCCCCCCCCCCCTAACAGGGGTGTTTTTTTACCCACAGAGGCACGCGCTGACTTGCATGGACGAAGGGCTACAACCGGTGAACGAACGGGAAAGAAATCTCTTAGCCGGTGCTAAAATAAATTAAACTTCTCCTCTAGGAGGACGAAAGACCATCATGCCGAAACCCCGAGCCCCCCCCCGAGAGCCCCCGCCTCGCCGAGCCCGGCTGACATTTTAACCCGTCCGATGTGTTTTACTGAAGGGCGGAGGGCGGCGTCGTGTCTGATGTGATCGTCACTGTTTTTTTTTGTTGTTGTTTGTTTATTTTTGTTGTTGTTGACAGCGGATCGCTCCGTTCACAGGACCTGGAATTTCCACGAGGAGGTTTGGTCCTTATAATCCAAGCAATCGGCATTGAAGTTCAACTTCCACGACGCCGCTTGGTCCTTATAATCCAAGCAGTCCGCGGTGGAGTTGAAGCCCAGGCCGGACGTCCCGTAGCCCTGGCTGGAGAGGGGCGCCGAGGACTGGTTCAGATGGCTGGTGACCGCGTTCGTGCCCATCGGGCTGAGAGTTGAGCCGGGGCCGGACAACTGGTGGTGCATGGGAGCGAGGTAGGAGCCGCAGTCCATGCCGCCGAAGTAGGAGGTCGAGCCGGGGTAGCTCTGGCTGTAGCCCGAGGCCTGGGTGTAGGTCATGGGATAGGACCTCTGCATGCAGGAGGAGGAGGTAGACAGGGGGTCTGAGAGCGGAGAGATGGACGCGGGGCTCCAGATGGACACCGGGGCGGTGCTGGTGGAGATGACGGGGGCAGTGGTGGTGCTCGCGGGGGGCGTGAACTGGCCGCTGGCCCCGCTCTCTGAGCTCACTTCTCTGGTTGGGGAACTTTTCTTTTTGGCAGGTCGCACCTTGTTCTGGCCCCCGTTCTGCTGCTGCTGCTGCTGCTGGCGACACTTGGCGCGTCGGTTCTTAAACCAGACCTGAAATATAGTCACATATCACAGTCTTCAATATCCCTTAATTGGAGAGTAAATATAACCCAAATTCTACGTAATATTCTTTATAGTTGCACAGGCTCATGCAATATTGTTTTACATTGCAGGTTTTTTGTTAATTCACATGCAAAAAACAGTGATCAAATCGAGATTGCAATAAATCTATATTAAGCTTCACTAGCAATCAAACAAACTTTTTGGAACACTGAACGGATCTGTATAATTTAATTTCTCAAATTCTCGAATCAGGAATTTAAATTGGATTATTTCACCCCACTGAACGTGTTCCCCTTGATTTAAGTGCGAAATTCTAAGCTTCCCTCACGAGTGTTCTACACTTTTATTGAGCTTCTATGGTTTCACACGTGTCCCCTCCGTTAAAGAGATGTAGAATTAGTCTATAATATTTTTCACATTGTAAAATGTAACAATTGTGTTAACATGTAAATATGTTACAAAACGTTAAACACTTTCACCTCAGGTGTCTCACAAATAACCACTTCTTTCACACGTGAAGTACTTCTCTATATAAAGAAAATGTCCTGCGTATCTCACCTGTACTCGGGACTCAGGTAGATTGATTTTTAACGCCACCTCTTCGCGCATGAATATGTCCGGGTACCGAGTTTTGGCGAATAACGCTTCCAAAACGTCGAGCTGTGCGCGCGTAAAAGTAGTCCTCTCTCGCCTCTGTTTCCGTGGCGTTGCTGCAATTCAAAGACAAATGTAAATCAAATGAAACATGCCACGCATATTTGCATGGGAAAAAACAAGTAACGAAAACACCAAAAGTTATCTATGGCATGCAGATGTCTAAGAGAATATATATTTATATATATTTGTTTGCCTAATTACCCACAATTCCCGTGAGACCTAAACGTTAGTGGCAAATCAGAGCACTCCACGTACTTTAGACCAGTGGGGCCAGACAATTAATGCAGTTTTAGTAGAAATCAAAGCAGTTTGTCAGTAATTAATTTGAAAGGCAGATCCCTAATAAAATCACACAAGACGATATCTACTTTATTAATCCACATGGCTTTCTTTAGCACTTAATATAACTCGCCTGTGTTTATCCCCCAAAGTGCAAAATTCACCGAGTCTCTAAATAAGTTTTGATAGTTCCTGATGACACATTTCCAGTCCATCACGTTTATATCCCCAAGCAAATCTCGTTATATTAGACATCATTTCCTCGTCAGAACGTTTGGACCCACCTGGATAGCCCACTGATGGATGCAAAAGGTCCATTCCAGAAGTAGTTAAGCTGAGGCCATTGACTGTGTAAGGTGGTTGCTTTAGATACGACATCATGCTAATGTTGGACTGAGGGCTGAAGTTGGAGAAAATTTTGAAAAACGGATGGGGCTCCTGATATGTACTTGGGGTGGTCTGCTGTCCTTGGGGTCCGTCTTACACCGGGAACCTGTTCCAAAAAACACAAACCGAAAAGAGGGATAAGACGCCGATGAAGCTGGTCCGTTGTGCCCAAATAAAGCCTCTCTCCAAAAAGCACGGCACTACTTAAAAAGCACCAACCACTTGTCCAGCTGTCCTCTTCTCTACAACCCCCCCCATCTCCCCCACAAACAAAAAGACATACCCCGGCCTATATGATTGCAACAGGTCACTTGAAAGTTTAATTAGAGACAATGGCTCCTGTATGGAGTACAATACAATTACAACTCGGAACCTTTAACTGGCTATTTATAGAACAGCTAAATAATACTTATTCTCGCTTTGTTTCCGTTCATTTGGCTGTTTTTATGTCTGAATATTTTTTATTTAAAGTGGTGTTAGGAAATATTATCAGTAACATGTGAAAGAAGAAACGTAATTGATGTTGGAAACCGTTTAAACAACCTCAACCAAATGTTCATTATCAATTTAAGACCTTTTAAATTATTTTGTCTATCATGGATAATCTGTATTTTGTAATCTATTTAAAACAATTGTTAACAATGTTTTATTATCTTTTTGAGTTAAAATCATTAACTTTTTTTTTTTAAACACACGATTTTTTCCGCGCAGATATGCTTTTTTTTCCAATAATAAAAACCCGTGCTTCCTTATTGCAAACGTAACAGTTGCTTAATCAGAAATAAATCTGTCCTGTGAGCTTGATTGGTAGATGTGTGATTGCTGTCACTTCAACTCCAGTGACCCTCGCCCGCTTTCCCCACTGCGCGTCTTGATTAGCTGCATTTTTTTTTGTTCAACATCCAACGGTTTTAACCCCCTCATCCCAATCTGTCACAATTAAAACACACCCGTCCACCGGTTACACACACACACACACACACACACACACACACACACACACACACACACACACACACACGCACACCCGTTCACTAACGATCACCCAGTTCAAGAATGAATTATGATAAATATACAGGTTTTCCCCTGTTGATGAATTAACGAGGTAATGCGAGTGGCACAAATGTGGATTCAGTTTGAGTCTAAAAACAGCTTTTAGTGCTGCAGGTTCCATAAAACGATGCTGAAATCAACGGGGGGGGTTGTAATACAATTATTATATTAAATCCCCCCCCCAAAAAACCCCCAACATATTTAGTTATTATAAATAATTAAAGTGGAACTCCCCATTTAACGCATAAAGACAATCCATCACCAGCTATTAAAAAAAAGGGGTGAAATATAAAATAAAATGTGTTAATTCATTCAATACGGAGAGAGAAAAGGCCCCGAAACATTTTTTTAAAAGCAGGCCAAAATGTATTTTTTTTCAGTGCCGCTTTCAGCCTCAAACCTCCACATTTTATTTAATATGCCGCCTGTAAATTGATGTCGAGGTCAAGTGTGGAGCATGAAACGAATCGCGTTTCGTTTTAAATAGAAACTTCAATCACTGAATTCGTCCTGCGGAGCAACGCTGGCTTCAGTTGGTGAGGTTCAGAAAATACGAATAATATAAATATATAAATCACACAATTTTTTTTAGAGAAAGGCAACTTTTAGAATAGATTGAATTGTTTTTGTTTTCATTAGCAGAGACAGTCATGGTGTAACTTATTCGTTTGGCGTCATCATTTACATCGGTTTGCTGACACCCATTAAAGGGTGAGTATATAAGATGATTTTCTTTTCTGTGTCTTTGTGTGTTTTTTTTTTTTTTATCTCAGCACCAGAACAAATTCCCTCTGTTAAACAGATTCTTTTGAAAACCTTTAATATCGTGTTTTTTTTTAGGTGAGATCCAAACCAACATCTCTTCTCTGACTCTTTCTCGATTTCTTATTTCGATATTGAATCCTAATGAATATAAAACGCTGCCAGCGTTGGTGGCGATAACGTTGATAACAACAACGGCTGAAATGATCATTATTCTAGTAACACAAGTAAAACTTACCCTGCTATCGACGACTGTAAAGTTCTTTGTCTACTTGGTTTCCTCCTGGAGAGAGAGAAAAAAATACAACTCGCTGCTGATGAACGGCGTCCTGGCGCGTAAAACAATATAAAAACCAAGTGGGAGCAGAGGCGGACGTCTTCCCCGGTGGCGGAACAGCCGAAATAAAAGGATAAAAGTTAAAGCTGGAGCGTCTGCATCCGGTCAAGAAGCGGTGCGACGGCGGCGCGGTGATGGAGGAGACTCGGTGTAACGCCTTTGGGTTGTGTTGGTGTGTTGTGAGTGAAGTGGCTCGAGTTGGATTTTGTACAAACTGCCAGCCAATAGGAGCCGCGGGACTCAGCTGAGGTCTGTCGCTGTCTCCTTCTCTCACACCGGTGGGGGGGAGGAGGAGGAGGAGGAGGAGGAGGAGGAGGGTTTTTCTTTTTCCTGGGAAACCAATGTCTCTTGCTACTTTTATTTGTTTTTTTGACGCACAGTCCTCAGCCAATGGCAGCGAGAGGGCGACTGACAACATCCCCATCCCTGCGCAGAGAGGCTACAATGACAAGAAATAAAACGGTATGCCGGCGAATGTCGAGAAGTGGAGTTTAAATCGAGAAAAAGTCCGTTTATTCCCATTTTTAGAGAATTGAATATTCGCCACTGCTGCTGTCCGGGGGATGCATTGACCCGAGGGAAGTTACGTGGAGGCTGGTTGGGCAAAACGCGCAAATAAAAGAGTTGGAAACATTCCCAGTATATTCGTGGCATGAATGCTTAGCCTAATCATATATATCTATATCTATATATAAAGAGAGATATATATAGATATTTTCTTTTGGCATTTTCAGGTTTATCCAATAATGTTAAATTTGTATTTATTCCGATTTTAGAAGTTTCAGACCGAGGAAATAAAAATAATAATAACAGGAATTGGCGCAGTGGGAAAGAGAACAAAACGCGGTTTATGGGCCTGTTGTGTCGTGTGGAAGGATATCAAATAAATTCTGTGACAAAAGGACACGCAGGGGGAACCCATGGCCCTGGACTGAAAACAGCGCGCGGAGGCTGCAGCGTCCTCTCACATTCCAGCGCGTCGCCAAAAAAAAGAAGGGGGATTTAGAGCGACTTATTTCCTTTAAAACGGTCCTCGCGTCCTGAGAGCCAGTCAGTGAGCTGCCGCCCGCCCGGTACGGGCCCGCACCGAGATTCAGCCACAGTATTTCCATGGGAGATCCCACCGAGAGACAGCGAGCAGCCGACGACCTGCACGCAGCACTGCAGGGTGCAGAGACGAGGAGGAAAAGACACACGGGCCGGTTCGATGGAGACATTTTCACTTATTGCACTTGACGCTCATTCTGCAGGAACAGAGGGTGTGAAAAAAAAGAGGTAAAGGTAAGAGTATTTTGTTTGATTTGTGCCAAGAAAGTTTTATGTTGGAACAGTGCATAAGTGAGCTAATCAAAATAATGTGTTACGATGACGTGTAGCTCCGAAGTCATCTTATTTAAAAAAAAAACGAACTTCCTCTTTGTCACTTGGATTGTGAACCCGCGTGCCCATCTCGAAATAATACGCCGAAGGTTTTTGTCACGGGTTGGTAAATGTATCATCTTAAGAGGCTTTGCGGAACACCTACACACACACACACACACACACACACACACACACACACACACACTCTCTCTCTCTCTCTCATACACACACACACACACTGTGCGCTTGCACGGACACACCCGCTCACTTCAAACAGATTTGAATATTGATTTAGATTTCTAAACACAGGCAGACCGAGGGTTTTATGAAGCGTCATTCCGCCTCTCTCCGTGGCTCGTGTGGAAGGCCAGAGTCAAAGGTGCACTGGGACAGCTGCTCGGAGAACTGGTTCCCACTCAGCTGCAGAAACAAACAAACTGGTACAACATGCAGCAACCTCACCAACCCGCTGACATCTCCTTTGACAGATTTCGATCAGGAGAAGCCGCGGAATGGATCACAAGCCCGGATTGCTTTTCCCAGATGGGACGTTTTTATGTCTATTAGGAGAAGAGGAACTGCAACACATCCAGGTATCCCCATTTGTTTATTCTTTTCATTTATGATTATGTTTTTTCTAAGGGATTGTACACATATATTTTGTCAGATAATTAGTTAAAAATGCAATAAAACCACGTACACTGAGCGGTTTATGTTGATTTAAACTTTATGATAAAAGGTCAGCCTTCTCACATTTTTAGTACGTCATTTTTAACTTCTGCTTGCCCCATTGCCTGAGATTTCAGGGCACTCAGCTGGCAGTTAAAAAAAAAATACATTTTAAAAAACGTGAATTTAGGCTAACAGTTAACGCGAGACTTTCAAACCGCCGCGTGCGCATGAAAACCGTTACGTCTCACGCGGTTATCTGCTGGATCGCACCGTTTAAAATTGCTAAATAATTTATTAAAGTGTAAAGCCCGGAACCTCCGCGGGGACTTTGTATCTTTTAAAAGGGCGTTTAAAAGAGAGAAGGAGTTAAACGCCTCTGGCGAGCCGCGCTCCCACTGACTCGCGGCTAATTGACGATGGCGGCTTTTATCTGCGCCTGTGCGCCACTCAACCCGAGGGCCGCGTGCAACCTGTGATTCCTGCCCGCTAATGCGCAGCCTGTGCGTCTCTTCCTAATGCATTGCACAGCCATGGACGTTTGACCCCGTGTTTGATATAGCTTTGGGGAAAAAAGGGGGGGGGGGGGGGGGGACATCTTATTTCCAAGAGATGGGATAATTACCGAGCATGCAGACAGCCCCCCCCCCCCTCCCCGCTCTGCACCTCATCCAGGCATAAACAAGAAATAATCAACACATTATGGAATGGATACTAAAGATTTAATGGAACAAATAGGGAGACAGCATTTAAATTGCGTCTCTTGTGCTTAATAAATCCAATAGACTGGGAGTTATGTGAATTTAAATATCTACCACATTTATATCTTCTTACTATCTAGGCAGCTTTACTCTCCTCTGCCTTTTCCCTCCTCGTTTGATATTCGCGTGGCTGAGTTTGAGGAATGTGTTGGTGGAATTAATTCTGAGCTAAGAAAAAAAAAGAAAGGGAATTAAATCCAAGAAAAGCTATTTATATAGAAATTATGATAATCTGTAGGCGAAAATATTTTGAATTAAATTTACCTGCGTTTTGACTTTAAAACAATGTTACTTTTGAGTTGCTTTCATCAACACTGTTTCCCATCCTTTCATTTAAACCCAGAGAGTTATAATTAATACCTCAACTAACGAGGCGTTTGATCTGCACTTTCAAATTAATCTCAGTTATAACTATGACTGCAAGAATATAAAAAAAATGTTGTAATTATGTTTTTCAAATTCTTTAGCATTTATTGGGTCACGTGTAAGTATTTTTAAAAACCTGTATGTGTGTTTGGTTGTGTGCGTGGGCGAGAGAGAGAGAGAGAGAGAGAGAGAGAAGGAGGATAATCACAGTTTGATAGATAGGTTGCCACTGTTGTAAAAAAATAAAAAACTAAAAGGTGCACTGCGTAGTGAGGAAGGTCCCCAAACAGAGAACTCTACCCACACTGTTTTCTTATCACAAAGGAGCTAAACCTTTGTGTAATGTAACATGTAACTGCCCCTAAAGGTCACCAAAACACATTCAGCCTCATCCCCGGGGATTAAAGCGAGAGAACCATTCACAGTCAGTTTGGAGAGAGTTTGCTGGCACAGAGGCACACAGACCGACCCACCCTTTGCTTCTGGGATAAGATATATATATTTATTATTCACAATGTTACAAATTGAGATTTGGCACACAGTTGTGCTTAAAATGATTATAGAAAGTGCTGTTGAATGAGTCTGTATTCTAGTTTAGTAGCTGTGCCTCTGCAATGAAAATGTGCTGATCATGAAAATATTGGGTTTATTTTTCTAACACACATTCTCTCCGTCAGTTCAGACGTGGTGCCTCAATAACGCCGTGGCCGTGTGTGTGTTTGCCAAGTGTGCTCTTTCCATTAATATGCCATGCCTTTTAATTAGTGGCATAATTGTTTGTGTTGTGTTTGTGCAGGAGTTTGCCAACAAACAAACGGATGCAATTAAACACACTTGCCTTCAGATCATCAAGAGGAGGCAAAGTCAAGACTGGTGGAAACTCCAACAAGGACAAATGTGAGCTGGAAGACGACTCGGCCTCCTCAAGGTTAAACTTGAACTTGGTTAAGAGCCCGACTTTGCGCAACCCAGATCCTGCTTTCTTCTTCCACACTCTCTGTTTTTGAATTAAACATCCATTTTACCACCCTGTAATAACTCTTGGTTGATGTTATATTTCCAATGCATTTGCTTAAAAAGTGTTTCTTCTGTATCCGTGTGTGGAAAAGTGATTAAAAGTCTTTATTGGCAAATTAGTTGATCGTTTTTTTTTTGCCTCTCTGCTCTCTCAACCTTAGCCAGCCTTCTCCTCCGTGTGCTGAGGTGTCTGCATGTCGAGTAAAACCTGCCCTGCAGACCGGACCTCTCGAGTCTTCAAAGGAGTACGAACTCAATGTGGGGGATTTGTTCAGGCTTATTTGGTAACCTAGGATTTGAATTGGATTCTGGGAGGCATTCATAACACATTTGAAAATGTTACATTGTGTGATTTTGTGTGTAATCCCCATAATAAATTTGAGAAATGGTCACAGCACTTGCACAACTGTGACTATTCATGATGTATCAAATGGTTTTCTTGTCTTGCCTCTCGGGGGTGAGGTGTGCGATGCCGGCGGGCAGCGGCAGCATCACGTCCGCCGGATGTCAGCGCCGTTGAGGAGATGATTCCTGCCTTTTTTGACCTTCCTCTCGACACTTTTATTTTTCCTTGGACCTAAATATGTGAGGCGGGTCAGCCACTGTGCCTCCAGAGGGATTCTTTCAGACCCCCCAACAGCACTGGTGCATTAAAACCTCAAGTGGATTATACCTCCCTGGTAGGCAGTTAGTGTACACACAAACACACACACACAGACACACACACACACACACCGAGGGTGCAGTTTATTAAAGTCTGTATGCTTGATCAAAGCCACAGCCAAAGATTATTAGGTTGGTCTCTTTCATGCATTGTGCCCTAGAATTTCCTACTTTGCATTATTACGGGTAAGAAGAAAGCGGCACGGTTGTATTGTCTATAAAATAATTGAATGGGTCCAATATTATAGGCCGCTTCTATACGATGAGATACACCGATTTGAATAATTATTTGTGTTTGATATGTTTTCTTTACACAAAAGAGTTAAATTAACTTATACAATCTTACCATAAAATCTTTTTTTTGAGTCTATAAATATGCAAATGTTCTCAATTTCAAAAGTTTAACTGCTGGACAGATCGTCTTTGTGTAAATGTCTATTTTTAATGTCTGTTCACTGCGCGTCTCAAGTTTCCACTTCACACTCGTGTGTTCGACATCCAGATTTGTGCTTGTAGTGTCAAACACGTGCATCATTCTGCCCTTCATCATCAAAACGAGTCATTGGTGGCCAGGTGTTTCATTGTAAGATATGTTCCGATGTGAAATTGGAAACAATGTTATCCAGCAGATTAAATGTCTTCACGGACGTGCTCCAACACATGGTGGTGTGGTTTCATGGTTTCACTGCTATGTCTGGTACATGTAACTCTCCCGCCTTAGTTTAATAAAAGCAAAAGCTTTTGTGTGTGTGTGTGTGTGTGTGTGTGTGTGTGTGAATCAGTGTTTTATCCTGTCCAAACCCCACTTTGCTTTGAATGACACTTTGGCGATGCCCCCAGCTCCCCACTTTGACTTCTCAAGCGTACCCCCTGTCAGTGCCAACTCTGCCAATTCCTCTCATGTCTTTAATATCTCTCTTTGGACCCTTGGGTTCTGCCAGTGACGGCTCCCTTGTGACAGTTGGACATCGCCCTTACATTGGGGAGACAGCGGCGGGTGTTTGTAGCGTTCCCAGCCCCGGGCCTGTGGGGAATCTGTGATGGCTCGCCTGTCAGCCGGCCCCTCCCCTGTAATTAGGAGAGTAAACACAGCTCTTGGCTCGGCTTGGGGGAGAGGAAGAGGGAGGGAGGGAGGGGGCGGAGGAGGGGACCGTCCGGCTCCTGTCCTACTTGAGCTGTCCAGGAGCAACTTGGTGACTGACACCCGTCACATCTCCGAGGTTTGGGACGAGAAGTCAGTCAGTTGACGCGCTGGGAAACATCAGATCTCCACCTGATTGAGGTACTGAGAAGGCTCGTCGCTGAACTAAATATTTTGTAGAGTAAAGTGCAAAGGAGCTGATCACTGAGAGCTGTGCAGATCCAAAAATGTCCAGGGATGACCATGTTGATGAGTGGAAGCGGTTTGCCGCAAGCTAGTTAATGCACATGCGTATTATTCCCACGTGGCACCAAAAGCAGATAAAAACCTCCACTAAGCCTCCGTCCCTCCTCACGTCACCGCTCTCCTGGTTGCTGGGGGGACCGGTCAGCGGCCGGAGGAATGTGTTGTGGGGCTGGAGCTGTAGCCGTAGCTTGGGACCCGCTCGGGGGAAGCGCCATCCCACCAAGCCCCTGCCACTCCGCTCTGCCCGGGCAGGGAGGCCGGCTGCGGGAATGCCGAGACCAGGAGGGGAGGAATTTTACTGGGGGGATCTGCCAGGAAAATGCCATGCAGGGAGCGATGAAGAGAGAAACCTAGATAGAGAGGGAGAGAGAGAGAGGCGAAAAGGAGCTCTCAGCCAATTGAAACACAACCTGTCAGTTTCATTTCAGTTTTGTAGGATGCTTACTGATGATGGGCCAGTTGCTGAATGAGCCGGGTTGCCACGCAGACACAGTGGCACCGCATCTGACTCAGATCCTTCGCAGATGGCTTGGGGTTCAGTGGGCGTAACCGAGGTGGTTTGAAGTAAAGTCAGTGCATTTTCAACATATTATTGTTTTTTCAGTTTCAGTGTGAATCATCCATCTGTATTAACCACCATCTGTCTCACCGAGACGTGAGCGTGATCACATGCGCTAGTTTCTGTGTAAGTACATTTTAAATCAGATGGTGTGCATCAGTGTGTGCATGTGGCGGACAGGGAGAGTACAACGGGAGGGGCGCTCGAAGGCCCAGTGTACTTGCCAAAGTCTTTACGGCGCCCAGAGAGCCATGCTGCAGCATCATGGTCCACAGCATGGAAAGACATGGGGCAGATGGGTGCAGTGTAGCAGCACAACCTCCCCCTTCCCCTCCCAAATGTGAGGCAGCAGTGGTGGGAATGGCACAGTGTGAGAGAGAGCCCGGGTTCATGGCTGAAACAGAAAAGCTGTCGGAGGGGCATTTGGGGGGCTGGGGGGGGCAGGAGGGGGAGTGGGGCTGAAAGCTGTTTTGAGGGGGAGGAGGGGCTTTGGAGGAGTTGGTGGGGCAGGCATCCTGCGATGGCGAGGGAAAGCCAGTTCCCCTGTCACGTCCCTTTGAAATCCAAGTGCAGGGGCACGAGCCCAGGGAGGAGTGGCAGCGTGGCCCAGCGCCTGGGCAGACAGGCAGTCACCGCACTGGGCCGCGGTCCAGCTCGCCTCGCCCCTGCCCACCCCAGCCCACCCCGTCTGGCCCGAGGCTTACGGGAGTCAGGCAACCGACCCCCAGCGGACAGGCCGGAGCCCTATACTACCGCGTCCCATCTCCCAGCCTCTGCTGGGTTGGAATCGGCAGCAGCGCCACCCCGCCCACCCCCCGGGAGGGAGGCCCACGCAGAGATGTTGAGGTGCTCCTCGTGCGCCCAGGCCTCTGCGTGATGGCCCAGCGGAGTCCGCTGCTAATGATAACCCCCACCTCGCCACCAGGCCCTTCTTCCTTCGGGGCCTGCGCAGGTCCTCACATCCCCATGGCAACTGTGGCAGTGCCGTCCACACAATGTGAGTGGGCAACAAGCCAAGTGCTGCCAAATTGGGATGAGGGAGAGACATTTTGGGATAATACTCAACCCTGAATCTTGCCACCTTTATTTTTTCACGGTTTTGGCTGCAGTGATCTAATATCAGACACTTGGAAAGCTTTTTTTTATTTGAACAGTCGTCAGCAGCAAGCAGAGACAACCACGCTTTCTTTTGTGAGGTTCTTCACCACTGCACAATTTTACGTAGATTATTCAGAAGGCTCTAACGGTCTAACTGTCAATTCATTTTGCCGTGCATTTAAAAAACTAGAACCGGGAGCCGAATTCCCCCAATACATTCTGCAGCATTCGCAGAGTGCTTAAAGACACCTTGTCATGGACACATTAAGCCTTGGTAAACACAAGTAGTTCAATGACATTCACAGCAGCCACCTAAAGTTGATTCCCGACTCTAAGCCACCGGGAAGATACTGCATAAGTGGTTGGGTGGTGTTTACTGAAAGTGGATATCTTCTGTTTGTTTTGTTGTTCTGCTTTCCGACCGTAAACACCGCCTAGATTTCCTTGAGTGGTGTTTGAAACGCTTATGTTTGTGTGTGTGTGCCATGTGTTATATTTGCTGATAACAGGATTTACTCAAATTGCGAATCACCAGTTGAGAAAGGTTAATTGTCAGCGCAACTGGTAGAATGGGTACATGCAATAATTATTAGTCTAAGTTGCTTTATTATTTAGGGACGCTAATTAGGCATTAACTGTGGGCCTCTCTTTGGATCACAACTTCAAATGCATGTCAAATTGCATTGAGTTCACTTTGACATCCATTAATAAAACCAGAGGAATGCTGTTTTGTAGATGTCCTTAGTGTGTTTATTGTGAAACGGATCTCTTCTTGAGGTATTGATCAGCAACATTTGTAAAGGGATTTTCATAAATTGCTTAATGCATCCTCGTTTTATTTACTGTGAGGACAATACATGTTGGGATTTGTGTGTTTTTTGCGTTGCTGCTGCTTTTAGTTTGGTCAGTTAACATTGCATTAAGAAGGATATTTGATGAACAGAAAAACGGGAGCACTCGAGTGTATCACCAGTTATTACTCCTCTCAGAAACACAAGAATTGGTCTGGATGTGCCACCCATGTGGATGAGTCTGGCATGAGATTGGCTCTAAGGTGAGGTGGACGGTGACAAGGAAAGAAAGCGATCAGAGATCAAGGCACGGCTGCCAGTGCATGTCGTCGCCCCACACACTCATCAAATAGCCCCGTGCTGCTTATGCTGCTGCTAAGACGCAAATTAATTTGGACGCCTGCAAAGACTGCGGAGCCCAGGACTCATCTCTGCCCTTTTATAAAAGAAAAGACACCAGCAGAGAGCACTCTTCCAACAAGGAGGGAGGGGGGGTCGGGTTGATGGATTTCAGCAGAGGGCAATACAGTGGCTGGAATAAGATGGGAGGGTACAGAGGACACGGTTGAATGTGCTTGTCCTGCTATGATGACAAGATGGCTCAGCCACCACTGTGCCGCT